CTTCACCGAAAAACCATAACTGCGTAAGGTTGGGTCTTTCGCAAGAGCAATTTAAAACGAATGTGCGCGGCGCTAATGCGAGAGCCACACTTTGAAAACGACCCGCCCTCCATTTGTGAAGCTGTTGTCAACTTCTAAGCTTCAGGGTCATGAATGGTGAGGAGGTCTCAATCGAAACGCCGGGGCCGTTCAAAAAACGGGCCTAAGGGTGCGGCAGGGAGAAATTATTTATAGTGAAAAGGCATTGAGATGGAGGAGGTGGGGGAGGAATGATGATGATGATGATGATGATGATGATGATGATGATGATGATGAGGAGGAGGAGGAGGAGGAGGAGGAGGAGGAGGAGGAAGAGGAGGAGGAGGAACAGGCGAATGAGGAAGAGGAGGCACAGGCAGAAGAGGAGGAGGAGGAGAAGGAGGAGGAGGAGGAGGAAATGGAGGAGCGGGAGGAGAAGGAGGAGGAGGAAGAGGAGGAGGAGGAGGAGGAGCAGGAGGAGCAGCGAGGAGGAGGGGGCCCGGAGGCTCCGAACTGGGGCGAAAATCTGGGGGCACCATTGGGCCAGGGGCGCCTCTGGCAATCCCCGAGCAGTGGCCCTCCGCGCAAGCCCCCTCCTCCTGCGCCCGGCGGCCAGGGTGCCCGCCGCCGCCGCCGCGACGCCGGCGCTCGCCAGCGCATCCCCGCGCAGCGCCCCGAGCCGCGCAGGGGGCCGGGCCGCAGCCGCGGCTGTCACGGGCCTCGCCGGAGAGGCTGCCGCGGCGGGCTGCCGCGGGGGCAGTCGCTGAGATGCTGCCGCCGACATGCGCGCCGCTCTCCGAGCGCGCACCTGCTTGGAGGAACAACAGGCTGCATAGGCATGCACTTTGGGAGGTCCGCGCGGATTTCTTCGATTCGCGCTGGGCCCCCGCTCCCTGGCGCGCGGAGCGCGCCAGGGCGGTGCCGGAGGCGCCGCCATGGGGGCCCAGCGCAGAGCCAAGCAATCCGAGCGGAGCTTATGCTTATGGCGTTTTCGCAGCTTGGACCGCCCCAGGTTTCGACGAATTCCCCGGGACTGGCCTCTCATCCCGAGTAATGCTGACGGCCCCGGAGCCCAGCGCGGGCCCCCAGGGGGCCGGAAGCGGCCAGGAACCGTCCGTCGTGGGCTTTCTCACGACGCCGGGGGGTCTGGGGGGGCAGGGAGGCGGCTGCCGCCGACGTGCACGCCGCGCTCCGAGTGCGCACCTGCTGCGGCGGGGGCGGATCGGACGATGCGGCTGAGGTCCAGGCCTCGAATTCTTGAGCCCCGGGCGGACCGCGTGTCGGCCAGCTGCTTTTGCCCTGAGCCATGCTGCTCTCCTGTCAGATGTCGTAATGATGGCTTTTCGCGTCCTGGCCCTGGTGTGCGTCAGCTGGTCGAGGAGGCCCATCGCGGTATGGTCAGTCGGGCAACTGCGACGTGTACGTGCGTTAGTACCTATATCTGTTAACTGCATATACATTTTTTTTTTTTTTTTTTAAGTTTTGTTTTTTTTTTTGGGTTTTTTTTTTTTTTTTTTTTTTTTTTTTTTTTTTTTTTTTCTCTCTCTCTCTCTCTGAGAGAGAGAGAGAGAGAGAGAGAGAGAGAGAGAGAGAGAGAGAAAGAGAGAGAGACAGAGAGAAATAGAGAGAGAGAGACGAAGAGCCTCCCTAACGTCTCCAAGATGCCCCCGAGTGGCACCCCAATTCACCCCAAGAGGCATTCAGGAGGCCCCTGACCCACAACCCAGGCACGGTGCGGGATTGACCGACGGCCACCAGATCCGCCGCCCCCTGTTGGCTTGCCACAAGGGTGCCTGGGATGCTAGAGAAGTATCAGGAAATTCGGGTTCTTTTAGCACTCCCCCTAGGGCTTCGGCCGATGCCGCCGGTCACCAGGAAATTGCATCGCCCGTTGGTCTTCCCGCGCAAAGCGGTCCCCAGAAGGCCTGCAAGACGGCCAAGATGGCCTCCAAGTTCGCCCGAGATGGTCTCCAAGACGGGCCAAAAGGGTCCAAGATGCATTCAAGTCCGCCGAGGAAGCCACCAAGATGGCCCAAGCTGGCTTCAAGATGACCCAAGACGGCCCCAGATGCCCCCACGACCCCAAGACGGCCCAGAGGGGGGCCCAAGACGGCCCAAGAGGCCTCCATGACGCCCAAGATGGCCTCGGAGACGGCCTTGAAGCGCCCCAAGAGGACCAGAGAGGCTCCCAAGAGGGCCCCCGACTGCGTCAGACGGCCCAAGAACGCCCTAAGACGGCCAAAGAAGTCCCGAACAAACTTCCAAAGGACCCCAGGAGGCCGAAAGAGACCTCCAAAATGCCTCCAAGAGGATTGCGGGAAGCTCCTGGGAGACCCTAAGAGTGGCCCAAGAGGCTCCCAAGAGGTCTACTTCTGCTCCTCCTGCTCCTCCTGCTCCTCCTGCTCCTCCTCCTCCTCCTCCTCCTCCTCCTCCTCCTCCCGGTTCCTTCTTCTCCTCATCCTCCTCTTCCTCACGTGTTCCCCGAAAGGTTTCAGCGACAGCTGGGGGAACACATGGTCCGACAGCTTGGCCAAGCTCTAGCCCAACTTTCGGCCACAGATGCGCTCCCAAAGAGGCATGGGGCGGCGGTGATTCGCTGCAGGCGTCTTCGATCCGCCGCCCCCTGTGGCTCGCCACAGGGCCACAGGGGTGCACGTCGTGCCGAATGTCTGGTGGTTTGTGGTTCTCTTAGAATTCTCAGTGAGGTCTCAGCCCATCCCGCCGGCCCCCCGAAGAGCTCCCTCCCTCCCTCCCTCCCTCCCAAATCCACTTCTTAGTGGTCAAATCGCTCCCGAGACGGCCAATATGGCCTCCAGGATGCCTCCAAGCTGGTGACGATGACCCAAGATGGCCTCCAAGACGGTCCCGAGACGCCTCCAAGACGGCCGAGATAGCCCCAAGACGGCCCAATATGCCGTCCAGACTGCCCAAGAGCCCCCCTAATTCGCCCCAAGTGGGCTCCAAGAGGACTTCCAGGAGGCCAAAATCATTGATTTCCCGTGCAATTTTTCACTGATTTTAGCGTTCTCGCCTTTTCGGGCTTTCGACGCTCCAAGACGGGCCCATAGGCCACAAAGATCGCCCCTAAGCCGGCCCTGGAGGCCCCGCAAGACAGCCCAAGGGGGCCCCAAATCAGCCCAAAAGGCCTCCAAGACGACCCCAGGACGGCCCCGGAGACCTCCAATACGGCCCTAAACTGTGCAAAGAAGGACCCACGAATGCTCAGGAATGGCGCGAGGCGTCCTCCGAAGGCCAGGAGGCCCTGAAGAGACCCCCAAGAGGTCCCCAAGAGTTTCCCAAGAGGTCCCAGAAAAAGTCCCAGGAGACCCCCGAGAGGCCCCAAAGGCCCAAAAGGCCCCAAAGATGCCCCGCAGAGTCCCGCTAGAGGGTCCCAGAAAGTCCCCAAGAGCCCCTCAAAAGGCCTCGTCTTCTTCCTCTTCCGCCTTCTCCTTCTTCTCTTCCTCCTCCTCCTCCTCCTCCTTTACCTTCCTCTCCCCAATGCCGTGTTCCCACAAGGGGTTCCACAACGGCTGGGGCAACACATGGCTTCGGCCCAACGCTTGGCCGCATGGGCGCTTCCAGAAGGCAGGGAGCGGCGGTGACTCGCCGCAGGCGCCTTCGGTGTGCACGCCAGGCGTGGACTGCTCCGGGGCTCCTGCAGTGGAGCTGCAGAGGCTCCGCGAGGCCCCGGGGGCCTCCGCGGGCGCGGACCTCCGGCGATCTGCGGGACCGCCCGGGCCCTTCTGGGGCGCGCCGCGCAGGCCTCCCCGAAGCCGACCGCAGCCTGAGAGGGTGCGAAGGGGCCAGGCGCCCGGGACCTGCTCCGCCCAAGACGGCCTCAAGAACCCGCCGGGGTGCCCCAGAGGCCCCGACCCCCCTGGAGGCTCCGAGAGGCCCGCCAGGGCTGCCCTGAACGCCCCGAAGGCCTGGCGGCGGGAGATGCCAGAGGCAACCTACACATCGGGCTCACGGTTGGCACCAAGCCTCCGCGAAGACGGCGCAGACCTTGTTCAAATTCGGACGAAGCGCCCAGGAGCCTCAGCACCCCCACGGCTTCACCCAGGGCCTCGGGGCAGGCTCCCAGCTGGGCAAAGACCACCCCAGGACGGCCAATACCACTCCCAGACGAGAACAGCCGCGCGACAGCCTCAAGATCACCCAATGTAGGCCCCCAACATCCACAGGCGGCTCCAAGACTCCGGAAGCTGATCCTTCGATTCCTGCTGCTAACGGGTGCCTCAACAGCTCACAGAGGCCCCAACAAACCCCAATGTATTCCCGACAAGCTCCTCGGCAGGCCTCCGACAAGCCGCAAGCATCGAGAACTTGGCGGGTCAGCGAGCAGAACCGGCCCGCATCCGCGTGCCAGGGTACGGTCGAGAACTGCTGCTTCGCGTGTCATAGCGTGTGGCGGCGTCAGCCCCGGCGACACGCTGCGCCCTGCAGGCGGACGGCGCGCCACCCTGCCTCGCGGGGCGGGAGGCGGGAAAGGGCTGCGGGCCTTGACGCTTTTGGTGCCGGGGCGTGGTCAAAGCGTGCCACGCTGAGCCGAGTCCCTGACCGCGGCGGCCGTGACCCTCCAGCCCCCGCTCGCGCGCCGCTGCCCCGTCGGCCCGAGCCCCTGCTCGGGCGGAGGGCGGCATCCCGTGCTGGTGGTCCCGCGGTTGCGCGCCGCTGCCCGCCGGCCCGAGCCTCCCACCCTCGCCACTCTTTCAATCTCCTCCTCCTCCTCCTCCTCCTCCTCCTCCTCCTCCTCCTCCTCCTCCTCCTCCTCCCCCTTTCGCCTCCTCCTCCTTGTCCTCCTCCTCCTCCTCCTCCTCCTCCTCGTCCTCCTCCTCCTCCTCCATCTCCTGCTGCCCCTCCCTCTCCTCCTCCCGCTCCCCTCCCTCCCTCGGCGAGGTCTGGATAGCTGCGCCCCTCCCTCGCCGGCCTCTCCCACCCCTCTCCCCCCTCTCGCTCCCCTGCCTCCTCCTCGTCCTCGCCTCCTCGGCGTGCTCTGGCTAGGTGCCGTGGGGTCGGGGGGCTCCACCGACTTTGTCCTGCGGCCCCTGTCTGGCGCGCTGCTGCCGCGCCCGCTCTGCCGTCCGCACGTCCCTCTGCCGCCTGCTCCGCCGCCCGTTCGGCAGCAGGACGGGCCGCGCAGCGCTCTGCTGCCGGGCCGAGGAGGGTTCGGAACTTCAGGAGGGCGGGGGAGCGGGAGACTTTCGAGGCATGGGGGGGGGGGGGATGAGGAGAGGGGGGGCGGGGAGGAGGACGGGGGAGAGGATGAAGGGGGGGGAGTCTTTGGACAGTCTGGTCGGGAAGCGGAAGAGGAGCGGGGGGCGGGAGCAGGAATGAGAGCAAAGAAGGGAACGGGCAGAAAGGATTTGGAAGTAGCAAGGGGATGAGAAACTGGTTGGAGAAGGGGAGGTGAAACAGGCAGAGGGGGAGGGCAAGTGGCACGGGAACGACGGGAGGGGCTGGGGGGGAAGCGGGAAGAAGGCAAGAGAGGGCTACGGGGGTGGTCGCCGGGAGGGGAGAGGAGAAGGAGGAGAACAGAAAGAACGTGAGGAGGAGCACGAGCCGGGGCGGTAAGATCCACTGGCCACTCGCGATTGATGTAGAAAGGGGGGCGTGGGACAACGAGGGGACCCCCCCAAAATCAAAGGGGCGGACGGGGTCTCGACTGCGGAGCAAGCGTGTGCCACCCCTCCAGAATTCCGAGGCCCTTTCTTTGTGCACAGCGTCGCGCCCTGGAGGTCTGGGCCCCTCCTTGGCGGCCCGCACAAGGCGTCGGGGGGAAGGGGGGGATCGCCTATTAGAAGGAGGCTTTCTTAGAAGGCGCCCGCCTCACGTCTATAGATAGGGCCCGCGCCTTCTAAGAGGCAGCATTCCTCTAAGACGCCTTCCCCCCTCCCCCTGTCCCCCTCTGCGCGTGGCCGACCTTCCCCGGACTGGTCTCTCATCCCGAGCCGTTTTTTTCGACGGCCCCGGGGCCCCGTGAGGGTCCCTCGAGGCCAGAGGTGGCAACGAACCCCCCGCCCCCGCTCGTGATCTCTCGCCACGCGGGAGGGCGGGGAACTGCACTCGGGGGCCCTAGCGCCTCGCGATCGCCACTCCCCGCGCCGCGTTCCCGCGGACACGTCCGGGGCAAAACCCCTCCCCCTCTGCCCCGTCACGCCCACGCGGGGGCGCGGCCGCCTCAGAGATCCCGGGGGCGGGGCGAGGGCGAGCCCAGCACGCAGATCGCCGAGCGAGCCCGGGGCGAGGTGGGGGACCGACGCTCGCCATGGCTCGGACGTCCACTCCCCGTGCATTTTTTCGACCTCGTGCGTGTTTGTTTTGCTCGATGATCCAGGAGGCTCCCCAACGGTCCTCGCCGAGAAAAAAAAATGCACTCGTCCGAGCGATGCCAAGGATGGGGGAGAGCGCAGAACGAGGGAACCACAGGGCGGACGCGGCGCGTCTGGCCGCGCTGCCGTTGCGAGCAGCGCCGCTGGCGGGCGCCGGCCACCGCCTGACCAACACTGCAGCAGCGTCTGGCAGGCAGCCTGCGCCGGCGCCAGCGCGATTGGGGGGGGGGCAAGCCTAAGAGCGGGGGTGGGGCAAACAATCGTGCCAGCGAGGAAAAGGAGGTGGGAGACCCGTGGGAGGGGAGTGATGCTGGGGCTGAGGGGAGGGCAAGGAAATCCCCGAGCCAATGCCAGGAGCACGACTATTCATATCAAATATTGGTCAGCGCGGACCCCAAACAGGAAAGTATTGCACTGTGGATGTGCAAGCTATGTGGTGCAAACTATGTGGTGCAAACTATGTGGTGCAAACTACATGGTGCAAGCTGTGTGGTGTAGGCGATGTAGTGAAGACCATGTCGTGCGAGCTGTGTAGTGCAATCTAAAAGGTGCAACTGGCGTGGTGCAGGCTACGTGGTGCAAATTATGTGATGCACGCTATGTGGTGCAATCTACATGGGGCAAGATATGTTATGCAGTAGACTACGTGGTGAAAACAATGTGGTGCAAACTATGTGTTGTACGCTCTGCTGTGCAGTCTACGGGGTGCAATTTACTTATGTCTGCAGTGAATTGTCAACTCCACTGCTCGCTCAATCATCCCACCCACCCACCCGCAACTTGGTTTGCAAAACCCATGCGACAGCGAATGCGATGAATGCCTGGCGTGGGCTGGTGCATCTCTGCGGCCGCGCTAACCAGCGCATGCTCGCGTGCGCAGCGGCCAACTAGCGCGGCGCGACCGACGCGGCCGCAGTGGCGCTGACCGCCTGGCACTTCCCAACGGGCACTTCAGAGAGCGTTGGTGACTTGGGTGGGCGCGGTATCATGGCGACGCCGACTATGGTGGACACGATGATGACACTAGCGATGACGATGACGATGGTGGCGATTACGACGGCAAGGCCAATGACGGCGCCGATGTTGATTACGCCCGCAGATGACGATGACGATGTCCTCGCGTCGGTGATGAAGGTTTTGGGAGGAGTTCGACATGCGCGCGCGGCCGACGCGCGAGAGTGGCCCGCATGGTATTCGTTGACACGGATCGTGTCCCCCCAGCACGCGCGCAAGGGCGTCGTAATGATTTCGACATGCGGCGCGAGACGCCTGTTTGGCAGAAGTGAATAAGCATGCTGCAAAACATATGGTCTTCCTAAATAACTCGCAAGAGTGCGAATGCATTTTTTGGTTGTTCCCCCCATTGGTTTGTTTTTGGTTGTTTGTTTTGTTTTTTGATTTAATGCTGTTGTTTCAAAATGGTGTTGCAAAACCATTTCATATTTTTAGAAAATGTGTTCGGGACACTCGGTCCTAAATTCCGGACGAAACCTGCGGTTTTTGAAAGATTTTGGCGTGCGCACACGACTACGCGCGCATGTGCACTTCGTCCCATCTGTTGCAAGGGATTCTTGCGACAGCACGCGCGCAGGGGCGTTCGAACGATTTCGACATGCGCTCGCGAGAGGCCCGTTTGGTTGAATTTGAAGGAAATGTTGAACCTCTCTCTCTCTCTCTCTCTCTCTCTCTTTATATATATATATATACACCAAATATGACTGTGAACCTTCATCGCATTATTTCGGGACACTCGACTTTGACATCCTTGCGAAACCAAGCGTTTTGAAGGATTTTGGCATGCGCGCACGACGACGCGCGCGTGTTCACTTCGTCTCAAAGAAGGGTATCTTGAAAGCTGATGATGTTTGATGAACGCGTGCGCGCGCATACTAGTTTTGGCAGGGGGTGAATCGGGCAACCCATACAGGTCTGCCTGGGACGATATGACGTCATACTTCGGACGGACGGTTGGGGCAGGATCGCACGTGAATTGCACATCCCCAGGGGGGGATCGGTAAGTCCCGGCGGGGGGGGGGGAGGTAGGTCTTACTACTCTTGTAGGAGGAAGGGTCCGCGTTTTTGCACGCTGTGCGGTGTACGCTGCGTGCCGCAAGCTGTGTGGCGTGGAGCGTGAGCCGTGTAGCGCGGCGACGGGCGGGAGCGGGGCCGCCGGGCCCGCGCGCGGGCCTGCTGCTTGGAAGCACGGGGCGGCGACGGGCGGGAATGCGGCAGCCGGGCCCGCAGACGGACCCCCGGTCTTCAGAGCGGAGCTGTTAGCCCCTGAGTGCCAGCACTGGCAGGGGGGAGGGAAAAGTCCACGAGCCGTCAGCGTGGTTTTGCGAGGTGGCCTTACACTCACACCGAACAGCGACAAGACGACAATATAAATCCATGGATGTGCCCCCCCTTGCTAGGACAGCATTTTCCGGTTTGAGAACGAATCGCGGACGAAGGTGGGCCTCCGAGGCCTCTCTGCCCCAGCGTCCCTCCTCCTCCCAGCCCTTCCTCCCTCCCACTCCCTCCTCTTCCTCTCCTCCCTCCTCCCTCCTTCCCTCTCCTCTTCCTCCTCCTCCTCCTCCTCCTCCTCCTCCAACTCCTCCCCTGGTCGTCGTCCTCCTCCTCCTCCTCCTCCTCCTCCTTGTCCTCGTCGTCGTCCTCCTCCTCCTCCTCCTCCTTCTCCTTCTCCTTTTCCTTTTCCTCCTCCTCCTTCTCCTCCTCTTCCTCCTCCTCCTCCTCTTCCTCCTCCTCCGTCGTCTCCTCCTCCTCCTGTTCCTGTCCCTCCTTTGCCCCTCCTCTCCTCCTCCTCCTCCTCCTCCTCCTCCTCCTCCTCCTCCTCCTCATGCTCGTCCCTCCTCCCTCCTCCTCCTCCTTCCTCCTCCTCCTCTCCTCCTCCTCCTCCTCTCCTCCTCCTCCTCCTCCTCTTTTGGCTTCTCCTGCTCCTGCTCCTGCTGTTCCTGCTGCTGCTGGTGCTGCTGCTGCTGCTGCTGCTCCTCCTCCTCCTCCTCCTCCTCCTCCTCCTTCCTCCTCCTCCTCCTCCTCCTCCTCCTCCTCCTCCCCCTCCTCCATCTCCTCCTCCTTCTCCTCCTTCTCCTCCTCCTTCTCCTCATCCTTCTCCTCATCCTTCTCCTCCTCTTCCGCCTCATCCTCCTCCTCTTCCTCCTCTCCTCCTCCTCCCCTCCTCCTCCTCCTCCTCCTCCTCCTCTCCTCCTCCTCCTCCTCCTCCTCTCCCTCTTCTTCCTCCTCCTACTTCTCCTCCTCTTCCTCCTTCTCCTCCTCCTCTTCCTCCGCCTCCTCCTCCTCATGCTCCTCCTCCTCTTTCTGTTCCTCCTCCTCCACCCTCCTCCTGCTCCTTCCCTCCCTCTTCCCTCCTCCTGCTCCTTCTCTTCCTCCTCCTGTTCCTCCCTCTTTCTTCTTCTTCCTCCTCCTCCTCCTGTGGTTTCCTCCCCCCTCCTCCTCCTGCTGCTCCTCTCCTCCTGCTGCTGCTCCTCCTCCTCCTCCTCCTCCTCCTCCTCCTCCTCCTCCTCCTCCTCCTCCTCCTCTCCTCCTTCTCTTCCTCCTTCCCCCCCCCTCCCCCCTCCGTCTTTGTGGCGCTTGGTGTTGCGAGCGTCAGCGGCGATCCTCCCCCCTCCTCCTCCCGCCTTCCTCGTCCCCATCCCTCCCGAATCCCTCCTCCCCGCTCCCCTCTCCCCCCCCCGACCCCTCCTGTCGCTCCTGCCCCTCCCGTGCCCGGCCGTCTGCCGCCGCCCGCTGGGGCTCCTCCTCCTGCGGTGGAGGAGGCAGGGCAGAGGAGGCAGGGTGGTGGAGGAGGAGGCACAGCGTTCACCAGAATTCACTGTCGAGGGGCGGAGGCAGCGCGCACAGACGATAAGAAATGCCGTAACGGTCCTCGGTGCGGGCCTCGAGGACGAGGCGCCGCAGCTTGGTGGTGGCGCCGATTGAGGGGGGGGGCAAAAAGCAACCCTCGCAGCGGGGTGAGCTCGGAGGTCTCGGAGTAAGAGAGAGGAGACGACCGACGACCCTGGCGGACGGAGGCGAGGCGGAAGAAGTGATGGCAGGCAACGATGAGCGCGAATTCACCTCGAAGGCCAAGCCTGGCCAGGATTGAAGCGGGAAGGTCGGAGCGGGGAAGGATCGCGGCGCGGAGGCGGAGCCGAGCGCCTTGGCAAACGTAGTGGTTGAGGGGCGCATGGGAAACCCCCTCGCACCCGAACGCGCAAGCCTGGGAACGCTGCACCCTCGCGCCAGTGATCCAGGCGCCCAAATAAGCGCGGATCACAGTGGCGGCCCACGAGGGGGGGGGCGGCGTGGGCCAGGGCATTTCGGATGGCAGCCCAATCCACCATGCCCTCCTCCAAACAGGGACGGAACTGCTTCTTCGATCTGCGCTCTAGCAGGGAAAACGACAGGCAATCCGAACGGAGCGGACTGCAAGCCAGACGCAACAGCGCGCTGCCGCCGCGGCCGATGATCCCCCCCCCCCGGACGGAAACTCGCGAGAGCACCCCCCCCCCGCTTTTTTGGTCGCGGGCGCAAGCGAGAGCGCAGGCGCCGTCCAAGTAAGTCCGAGTTGCGGTACCTACTAATTTACAGCGAAAGCACGCGGCGGGCGCGGCCTACCGGCCGAGGGCCTACCCCCCCCCCCGCGCGCAGCTTTGGCTTCCCTGGAAATCCGAGGGCAGCGGCTTCGAGAAGCCCGGCGAGGGGCTCGGGCCTCCAGCAGGCAGGGGCCGCCCGAGGGCCCCCCATGGCGCCACGGGCGCCCTGGGTGCGGCGGCCACTGCGCGGCGCGGTTGTCGTCTGGGGCCACTCCGGGGGGGCGGCGGGGGCAGTGCGCATGGCGGCAGCAGGGGCAGAGCTGTGCAGGGGCCTCACCCGTGGCCCTTGCATCTGCTCCAGGTGACAAAACCCATCTGAGCATCGAGCAGCACGCGTCGGCCATTGAACTGCCTGCGCGAGGAACTGCCTTTCAACTGTGGCTCGAGACCATGGGGTGGGGACGGGCTGGGAAACGTGGGCGGGGGCGGCAAGGGCTCGCTGTCGATTCGACTGGCACTTCGGCGACCACGCGAGTGCGAACCGCCGTCTAATGGAGAGGAGCCCGGAGATTCCCATCCGGGTCGACCTCGGGGTCCAGCCAGAAACCCAGGTACAGCACCTCGGGCGCGAGTTCGAACTCCTCCCGCTTGGCTGAGCTCGGC